GCGGCGGCGGGTGTCCTCGCACCTGAGGCCCCGGGCTGGGTGGCAGGTGCAACGGGTGGTGCAGTTGTTGGAGACGATGGTCTCAGCAGCCTGCAAGGGGAAGGAGCTGCTGCGGGTGGACCTGGGGGATCTCCCACCCCTTGAAGATGGAGATGAGGCCCAAAGAGAGGAAAACTCAGTGGAAGGTGAATGAGGTGGAGTTGGTGTCACTCCATGGATTAACCGCCCTCATCCTCATAAATAAGCAAGCAAGTAAACCAATTTAGGGAACTATTTGGATCTAGGTGTTCTCCCAGCCATGTGTCCTCCAAGCCGTGCCTCCTCCAAGCCACGTGCCCTCCAAGCCATACATTGTCCAAGCCATGCATCATATAAGCCCCACATCCACCAAGCCATGTGTCTACCAAGCCCCATGTCCTCCATGTCCCATGTCCTCCAAACCCTGTGTCCTCCAAGCCATATGTCCTCCAAACCCTGTGTCCTCCAAGCCACATGTCCTCCAAATTCCACATCCTCCAAGCCATGCATCCTCCAAGCCACACATGTCCTCCAAGCCATGCGCGTTCCAAGCCATGTGTCCTCCAAACCCTGTGTCCTCCAAGCCACATGCATCCTCCAAGCCATGCATGCTCTAAGCCCCATGTCATCCAAGCCCTGTGTCCTCCAAGCTCCACATCCTCCAAGCCCCGTGTCCTCAAATGAAGCGACTTCAGCCTCACCTTGAGGTACCGCCCCTTGTGCACACAGCCACAGCGCTCCACAGAGACACAGGTTGCCCCCTCCAAACCCTGTGTCCTCCAAGCCACATGCATCCTCCAAGCCATGCATGCTCTAAGCCCCATGTCATCCAAGCCCTGTGTCCTCCAAGCTCCACATCCTCCAAGCCCCGTGTCCTCAAATGAAGCGACTTCAGCCTCACCTTGAGGTACCGCCCCTTGTGCACACAGCCACAGCGCTCCACAGAGACACAGGTTGCCCCATCAAAGAGGTAGCCGTCGTCACACTGGCAGCCCCCGAAGCACCGCCGGCCGCATGGGGCTGCGCCGGGGCTGGCACAGGTGAAGTCGCACGAGCGGGTGCACAGCTCATAGTGGCTGTTTGGTGGGCAGGAGAGGGCTGGAGAGAAGGGTTGAAGGTCATTACCGTGGTGGCCACTTCTGCATGATGGAGGAGACAACCCTCCAGGAGACAGGACAGAGTAGTGACCAATGTCCAACCAACAGCCCTGGGGCATTTCTGACAGCTCCAGTTAACATCAAAATGACAAAATCCTGTTTCTACCTCCAAATTAAGTCATCTGCTCTATGCATGGCTGCGTTATGAGCTCCTCACCTCCATGCAGAAGCAAAATTATTTGAGATGAAAATTGACATTTTGGAGGTGATGAGCTGGAATTTTGTTTTTTCAAGATATTTTTGGCAGCAAGTGGGTTATTGAAGCCAAAATCAGCTTGTTTTGGGAGCATTTAAAAGCATTTCTGATTAAAAGCCCCAAAAGTTGAACAAAAATTGCAAAATTGGGCCAGTTCACAGAGGGTGAAGCAGCACTTACGGCAGAAGGAGGCTGTTCTCCATGCATCGATCTTGGCGCCGGCAGCTTGGCAGGCAGCTGTGTAGGCTTGCAGGCTCTGGCAGAGGGTGTCCTGGGTGCCGTTGGCCGCGCACATGTCATAGAGGCAGTGGTTGAAGTATTCGACGGGGCTCACTTGAGGGTGGCATGTCCCAAAGGGTCCCAACGGGTCCTGGATGAGCCCACAGGAGTCCCCAGCACGGAAAGGAGCCGTGTTGGTGGCATCGCACACAGGACAATTGGTGCCACAGCCATCTGTGCATGCTCCGTCCTCTGTGGGAACCTTCCAGGAGGCCACAAACTCCTCCATGCTCTGCGTGATGGCCCCATTGGGCAGCCGGAAGTCATCATCCTTCTCGCCATTGTAGTTGCCTCCTAAGCCGCACACGCGGCCCTGATAGCTGCTGGGGATGGTCACCAGGAGGTAGGAGGCCGTGTTGTAGAGGAGCTGGAGACCCGAGGCAGAGTCGAGGACAATGTTGGACCCTTCCTGGCTGATCCGCAGCTTGTTGTCCCCCGTGGCCAGTGGCAGCATGTAGCGCTCACCATCCATCTGTCCCAAAAGGAAGAGATGAACATTTTCAGGACGAGGTGGGCTTCCCGCATACATGCTGATAGTGGAAAAGGTGCATCCAGACTCACCGTGACCTCCCATGTCTGTCCCCGCTCCATAGTGACAGTGTAGCCATGGACGGAGATGACCACTTTCTTCATGAGGACCACATTGGGCTGGCCGGAGATGTGATTCTCCAGCAGCACTGAGAAGTTGGCCAACCGGGGGTCCGGCTTGCAGACCCTCACCAAGACGTAGGCGCAGGAGCCCCGGAGGTGGAAAGCACGCCCATCGAAGGTCACGTGGTGAGGGTCACCTGCCACCACCAGCCTGCCGTAGCCTGCTGCGTGGCACCCCAGTGCCCCACGCTCCACCCGGCACTCCTCATGGGGCCCACAGGAGGTCTCCCGGCACGCCACCACCCCACCAGGCTGGCAGATGCATCTTTCCTGGCATGACTTCCCGGTGTAGAAGTCCTCACCCAGCTTGTAGTAGCGGCCCCGGTGCTCGCAGCCGCACTCACCCACCGCCACGCACTCGTCCCCGCTCAGCACAAAGCCAGCATCGCAGAAGCAACCTTCAGCACATGGCACGTCACAACCCTCAGCAGCCCCCGGCCCCCGGCAAGTAGCCGGGCAGCCGGTCCCGCAAAGCTCGTAGTGCGAATTACGGGGGCACACAGGACCTGTGAGAAAAATGGGAGGAGAACGTCAAGACTTGCTTGGATTTGCACCCCAAAACTTCAGGATGAAGGCCAAAGTGGCCACCATGCAGCTTTGGGGCAAAGATCAAAGTGGCCCCCATGAAGCTTCAGGATGAAGGCCAAAGTTGCCACCATGAAGCTTTGGGGCAGACGTCTTTGGTGGCGAAGCGCACCCCCATGTCCCTCAGGAGGGTGATGTTGCCTTACTTTATCTTTTTTTTGCATTAAGAAGGAATTAATCCCTCTTCAGCAAATTTATCTGCCCACATCGACATCTGTGTATAAACAGCTGAGGGAGAGGAGCAAATGATTGCAACGAAACATTCTCGTCACTGGAAGGAGATGTTGGAAACGGGGTGGATGAACCCAGTTTTAGAGGCGTTTGGTGGCGCAGAGGGTTTTGCACCCGGTCCGGCCACACTTACTGCAAAAATCCGGCGTCCTCCACTTCTCGAGCTGGACGCCCTGGCTTTGGCAAGCCGTGACGTAGGCGGCAATAGCACTGCACAAGGTGTCCCGGTGGCCCTTGTACTGGCAGGCATCGAAGGCGCAATCCTCGATGAAGGGCGTGGGGTTGACGGCTGCGTGGCAGGCAGCGAAGGGCCCGCCGGCCCTGGCGAGCACCCCGCAATACTGGTCACCATGGTAGGGTTTCTTCTGCTCCTCGTTGCAGACTGGGCAGTCGCCCACGCAACCGGCCGAGCAGCCGGGGACGTCGGCCACCTTCCAGCTGTCAGCAAACTGGACCGGGTCTGCCAGTTGGCGCCCATCCGGTGTGATGAAGTCGTTGTCAGGGTCGCCGTCGGCGTTGCCGCAGAGCCCGCAGGTGGCACCGGCATAGGCTTGGGGCACGATGACCCGCGCGTAGCTGTACCAGTCGAAGCTCACCCGCATGTCGAAGTTGGTGCGGATGAAGCCATGGACGCCACTGGTGTAGATAGTGAATTGGCCTTCCTGGGAGAATGGGAGCTCCACGAAGACACCGTTGACCTGGGGGAAGAGGCGATGGAGGGTCACCAGCAGTTTCTCCCCAAGCTGAGCCCCATCACGGTTGGGTTGCAAAGGTCTCGCTGGAGACATAGGTGTTTGGCAAGATGTTTCACAGTGGGTGGAAGCTGAGGGAAGGGTTTCTGGGCCAATGCAAGATGTGCCCAAGAGGGTCCCCACCTCCCAGGGCTTTGGGGAATAATGAAAAGACCAAACAGTCGGAATCTGGGAGGTTTTATGGAAACTGTAGCGTAGGGTCTAGCTACATCTCCAGTGGGGCATCCTAGTGCCGACCCACCATCCAAAATCCCCCCTTGGGTCTTATTCCAGGCAGTTATCCAACCTGCAGTTCCCTTAATGCACAACTGATCCTCAAGGGAAGCTTTTTGGTTTGGCAGATTGACAGCAAAAACAACTTTTTGAGAGGTCACAGGGTGCTATTTGCACTTAAAACTGTTTCTGCCCCACCTAGAATCTATGTTCAGCTGAAAATATCATCATTCAAAGAAATGAAGGCTTAGCCGGAGCACATACTTAAGTGTAATGCTAAACAAGGAGGGAATTGGACCTTTTCCAGCAGAAGTGAGTCACTTTGCAGATGTCAGAGGAGAGAAATTATAAAGTGAAAGAGCTGCGTTGGTGGTGGGGGGGGGAGAAAACAAACAAAAGCAATCAAAGCAAAGCGGACACTGTTGAACTTGGAAGTAATTTTGCTTCTATTATTCATGGAATTTTTTTACTTGCTCCATCTGAGCAAAAATGGTCTGTTTCCTGCACACCAGAAATGATTTTTTTTTGTTGTTCTTTTTTTAGGAGAACTTGCTTTAAGCAAAGTGTCTAAAAATAAAGCATTTAAATCCAAATGAGCTGCTCGGGGCTCCCTCTGGAGATGGCCAGCAGAAACAGAGGCCTCCACAGAGCGATTCACGTGCTGCCTTGGAGAAAAAGAGGGGATTTTCCACCACATGCAGCAGCTTAAATATCCATATGTGATCGCCAGGGGTGCCTGGTGGACACCTACCTTGATCTTGCGTGGGTACTCCTGGCTCAAGGTGATGACGTTGCCGTAGACCTCGAGCGTCACCGTTTTGGTGAAGGACACTGCTTTGCTGCCGCGGTTGTTGTTCTCCACTGTGACCCGGAATGGGACCAGCGCCGGGTCCTCAGTGCAGAGGGCAGCAAACTGGTAGACGCAGGTGCCCTGGAAGTCGTACCTCAGTCCATCAAAGGTGGTGTAATGAGGATCGCCAGTCCCTATGCAAGTGGAGTACTTGTTGGCCACGCAGCGGTGGACACCGTCAACGCTGGTGCACTTCTCATGGACCTTGCAGCTGGCCTTCTTGCAGATCACCTTGCCCTGGCCAGTGTCACATCTGCAGTGGGACCGGCAGGTCCCGTCCTCCCAAAACTCTTGCCCGGGCTTATAGGAGCGGCCGTTGTAGATGCGCCGCTGTTGAGGACGAAGCCTTCATCACACTGGCAGCTCTCCGTGCATGGCTGGCTGCAGGACACAGGTGCTTGCGGGGCTGCGCACGTGGCAGGACACGCAGTGCCACATGCTTCGAAGTGGCTGTTCTCTGGGCAGCTCTGAGCTGGTGAGAGGAATTTGGGATAAAATCCTACTTAGATATGGGAACTTGAGGAACCCACAGCAGAGACATCGGCTCAGTGCAGCCACATCGACATCTATATTGCATCCAGAGCAATTTAGGGTATCTGAAACACCCCATGGCACCAGCTAGAGTAGAAAAGCACAACTTTTCTCTACGCTATGGACATCTGAAGTTAGATAAGGTGAATCTGGGGCAGTTGGGCTTGCAAACAGTGGCCCGCCTCTTCCCCATGAGGCTTTAGAGACCATGGGCCGGTCAAGGAGGTGGGGAGGGTTCCTGCATCCCTACAAGGTGAGATTTGCTGGTGGTGTTGCTCTCCGGCTGTCTTTTGCTAAAAAAGTTTGGAGCTAAGCAGGTTGGAGAGGACCTCTCCTGGTGGGTGGGAGAGATTTGTAGGGAAGAGCAGTGTGCTGCAGAAGTAGACTTGCCTATTGCTCTCCATTGACCATGTGGAGACCACGTCGTGACCTACTTGGAGCAAAAGGCTGCAGGAACGGGACACTGGGAGGGGATAAACTGGGGGTGGGAAGAGGAAAGGGCTATTTTTTGCATCATGACGGAGATCCTAATCCGGTGTCACGGCGCCTATGGGAGCCGCGTTGATGGAATTGAGTAGGTGGCATCTCCAGTGCTTGCAAAGTAAGGCGGGAATTCCTGTGTGGGCACCCATCTACCTCCCCAAACCTCTTCCAGGACTCAACTGGCCGAGCTTACCACAACCTGCTGGCTCCTTCCAGCCAGGAACGATGACTCCATGCTCCTTGCAGGCGGCTGCATAGGTCTCCAGCACCCGGCACAGGGCCTGCGGGTCCCCTCCGGAGCTGCAGACCTCGAAGATGCAGCGGGTGACATAGTCCTCAGGGCTCACCTGAGCACGACACGCTGCAAAGGGCCCCTCTGCGGCGGTGTCCATCATGCCGCAGTGATTGCTGTCACCCACCACCTGCCGTTGCTCCTGGTCACATTTGGGACATTGCCCGCCGCAGTAGTCCCAGCAGGTGGGATCTCGCCAGCTGTCCACCCACTCTTCCACGCTAGAGGCCTGGGTGCCGTTGGGAAGCATCATCTCATCATCCGTGTCCTCATTGAAGTTCCCACAGAGGCCGCAGGTCACCCCAAAGTAGCTGCTGGGCAGTGCCACCATCAGGGCCAGATCTTCATCGTAGGTCACCTGCAGCCCAAAGTCTGTCTGCAGGATGGTCCGGCCCTCATTTTGGGAGATTTCAATCTTCCCGGCTTCCAGGCTGGTGGGTAAGCTGGTGAGCTGCTCATTGACCTTGGAAGAAAGGAAACAGAGAAGGGTTAAATCCCAGCAGACAGTTGCTTTTCTCATCCCTTGGGCTGGGATGCAACATTCATCTCACTTTATTTTCAATGCATATTCTAGAAACATTTCTTGGAGTCCTCCGCAGTCATTTGTGGAGTTTACAGCCCCAAGAAGCACATGAACAAATTGCAGAAGAGAAGTTTTGTTCCAGGAGAAGCAATTATCAGCAGTGACTCTGCCAGGAAGCCTCCACAATTACGCAATATCCTTCA